AAGCACTCGGCAAAGTAGGAATAGAGGGAGCATTCCTCAACATAATAAAGGCCATATATGAGAGACCTACAGCCAACATCATACTCAATGGGCAAAAACTAAAATCTTTTCCACTAACATCAGGAAAAAGACAAGGTTGTCCACTTTCACCACTTCTATTCAATATAGTATTGGAATTCTTAGCCACAGCAACCAGACAAGAAAAGGAAATAAAAGACATCCAAATCAGAAAGGAGGAAAAAACTGTCATTGTTTGCAGATGACATGATAGTGTACATACAGAATGCGAAAGACTCCACCTAAAAACTGCTCAACCTAATAAATAAATTTGATGAAACAGCGGGATACAAAGTCAGTATCCAGAAATCAAAGGCATTTTTGTATATCAACAATGAAACAGCAGAAGCAGAAATGAAGAAAAAAATCCCATTTGATATAGCAACAAGAAAAATAAAATGCCTAGGAATAAACCTAACAAAGGAGTTAAAAGACCTTTATGCAGAAAACTACACAACACTGAAGAAAGAAATCAAGGAATACACAAACAAATGGAGACATATACCATGTTTATGGATCAGAAGAATTAACTTCATCAAAATGTCCATACTATGCAAAGCCATTTACAGATTCAATGCAATCTCTATTAAAGTACCAATGGCACATTTAACAGACATAGAACAAACACTTCAGAAATTTATATGGAACCATAAACAACCCCGAATAGCAGCTGCAATTTTGAGAAGAGAGAAGTAGGAAGGATCACAATACCTGATACCAAACTGTAGTACAAGGCCACTGTAATCAAAACAGCCTGGTACTGGCATAAAAACAGGCACACAGACCAGTGGAACAGAACAGAGAGCCCAGAAATAAACCCAAGTCTGTATGATCAATTAATATTTGAGAAAGGGGGCAGAAACAGAAATTGGAGTATAAATGGCCTCTTCAACAAATTGTGTTGGAAGAACTGGACAGCTATGTGCAAAAAAATAAAACTCGAGCACCAACTTACACCATACACAAAAATAAATTCAAGGTGGATAAAAGACTTAAATGTAAGTCGTGACACCATTAACATCCTAGAGGAGAACATAGGCAGGAGAATATCAGATATTTGACGTAACAGCGTTTTTACTGATATATCCCCTAGAGCAAGGAACACAAAGGAAAGAATAAACAAATGGGATTTCATCAAACTAAAAGCCCTGCACAGCTAAAGAAAATAGTATTAAAATAAAAAGACAACTAACTGTATGGGAAAACATATTTGCCAATGATACCTCAGACAAGGGTTTAATCTCCAAAATATACGAAGAACTTAACACGACTCCACTCTAAGAAGACAAGCAACTTAAGTAACTACATTTTGCCCAATTAAAAAGTAGCAGACTGGTACAAGCACTATGGAAAACACTATGGAATTTTCTCAGAAAACTAAAAATGGATCTGCCCTTTGAACCAGCAATTCCACTGCTAGGATTATATCCTAGGAACCCTGAAACACCAATCCAAAAGAACCTATGCCCCCCAATCTTCATAGCAGCACAATTTACAATAGGCAAGTGTTGGAAGCAACCTAGGTGCCCATGAGTAAATGAATGGGTCAAAAAACTATGGTTCATTTACACAATGGAATTCTATGCAGCAGAAAGGAAGAATGAGCTCCTACCCTTTGCAGCATCATGGATGGAACTGGAAAGCATTATGCTAAGCAAAATAAACCAGGTGGTGAAAGACAAATACCATATAATCTCACCTTTAACGGGAACCTAAACAACAAAACAGACAAACAAGCAAAATATAACCAAAGACACTGAAATAGAGAACAGGCTTACAGTGTCCAGAGGGGAGAGGGGAGGGAATTTCAGGGGAAAAGGGGAAGGGTTTACAGGAACTAGTATAGAGGACATATGGACAAAAACTAAGGGGGGTGGAAATGGGAGGGAGTGGGGGAGCACTGGGGGGGTGGACTGGGATGGTCACAAAAAATACAGAAGACTGTACTTGAACAACAATTAAATTAAACTTTTTAAAGAAATGCAAAGGAAATTAGAAGAGTTCTTCAAAAAGTTAAAACACAACATATGAAACGTTATGGGATGCAGCAAAAGCAGTGCTAAGAGGGAAATCTATAGCTGTAAATGTTTACATTAAAAATAAAGAAAAGTTTCAAGTTAGTAATCTAACCTAACACCTTAAGTAACTAGAAAAGGGAAAACAAACTAAACTCAAAAGAAGCAAGAGAAAGGAAATAGTAAAAATTAGAGCAGAGATTAAAAAATAGAGATTAAAAAACAAAATAAAGTCAACAAAACCAAGAATTGCTTTTTCAAAAAGGTTAACAAACTCGACAAACCTTTACCTAAATAGAGAAAAAACACTAATAAATAAAATCAGAAATTAAAAGAGAGACATTACTACTGACTTTACAAAAATATAAAATAATTATAAGACAATACTACAAATAATTATATACCAAGAAATTGTACAGCCTAGTGAAATGGACAAATTCCTAGAAACATGTAAACTACAAAGACTCATAAAGAAATAAAAAATATGAATACATCTACAACTAGTAAAAAGATCAAATCACTAATGAAAACTGCCAACAAACAAAAGCCCAGGACAAAGATGGCTTCACTGGTGAATACTACAAACATTTAACGAAGACTTAATACCAGTCTTTTTCAAACTTGAGCAGAAATTGGAAGAGGAAAGAATACTTCCTAATTAATTCTATGAGACCAACATTGCATTGATACTAAAGCCAGACAAAGACCAATAAGCAAAGAAAATTACTAACCAATATTTCTTACAAATATTGATGTAAAAATCCTCAACAAAATACTGGCAAAGCAAATTTAACAGCATATTAAAATAACAATATACCACAACCAAGTGGGATTTATTTTTGTTTTGACATGCAAAAATCAATCAGTGTAATACACTATATTAACAGAATGAAGGAAAAAGATACATGATCATTTGATGCAGAAAAGGCATTTGGCAAAATTCAACATTTTTATGATAATAACACTAAACAAACTAGGGATGGGAGGAACTATCTAAATATAATAAAGCTATTTTATAAAAAACCCACAGATGACTTCATAGTTATGGTAAAAGAATTAGTGCTTTCTTCTAAGATCAGGAACAAGGCAAAAATACCTGCTTTTACCACTTTTGTGAACATAGCCAGTGCCATTAGGTGAGAAAAGAAAATAAAGATGTCCAAGGTCGAAAGGAAGAAAAATAATGATCCCTGTTTACAGACCACATGATCTTATATGTAGGAAACCTTGAAAGTTCCACATGCAAAAGAAAAAAGAACAGTTACAGCTAATAAATTGATTGCAGAAAGTTATAGGGTATAGTCAACATTAAAAAAATCAGTTGTATTTTCATACACTAGCAATGAACAATCTGAAAAGAAAATTAAGCAATTTCACTTGACAATAGCATCCAATAAAAAGAAGAATCACTTAGGAATAAATTTGACAAAAGAAGCAAAAGACTTGTACACTGAAAACTAAAAAACATTGCTGAAAGAAATTAAAGAAGACACAAATAAACAGAAAAATATCCTGTATTCATGAATTGGAAGACTTACTGTTAAGGTGTCAATACTTATCAAAACTATCTACAAGTTCACTGCAGTCCCTACCATGAAATATTTTGCAGAGATAGAAGTAAAGGTTTTAAGAAACAACTATGATGAACAATTGTATGCCAGTATATTGGATAGTCTATGAAATGGAGAAATTCCTAGGAACATACAACCTACCAAGACTGAATTATGAATAGAAAAATCTTCGTAGACCTACTTTGACTACTGACATTGAATCAGTAATCAAAAGCCTCCCAATAGCCCTGGGCAGCTCAGTTGGTTAGAGCATCATTCTCATACACCAAGGTTGCAGTTTCCTTCCCAGGTCATGCAAGAATCAACCAGTGAATGCACATATAAGTGGAACAACAAATTGATTCTATCTCTTCCCATCTACCCCTCTGCCTATCTCTCCCTCTTTCTCTCCTCCCTTCCTCTTTCTTTAAAATCAGTCAAGCCATCAGTTTTAAAAAAGAAACCTCCCAATAAGCAAAGGACTTGGACCACATGGCTTCACTGGTGACTGCCATGGAACACTCAAGAATTAAAACCAGTTGTTCTCAAACTCTTCAAAAATATTAAAGAGGAGGGAACACTTCCTAACTTAATTGGTAAAGTCAGCATTATTCTGTTACCAAAACCAGGCAAAAATACTACAGAAAAATAACAACAACAACAATAATAATAATGAACTATCAACCATTATTTTTATGAGTAGTTATATAAAATCCTTAATAAAATACCAGCAAGCTGAATTAAGTAACATGTTAAAGCAATGATACATTATAACCAAGTTAGATTTATTCCTGAAATGCTAGGATGGTTCAACATTTTATTAAGTCAATCAGTGAAATACATCACATTAACATGATCATCTCAATTGATGCAGAGAAGGTTTTGACAAAATTCAACACCCTTTCATGGTAAAAGCACTTAACAAACCATATATAAAAGGAAACTACCTCACCATAATAAAGGCCATTTATGGAGAACCCCAGCTCACTGGTGAAAGATTAAAAGTTTTTCCTCTGAGAACAGCAATAAGGAAACAATTCCTGTTTTCACCACAAATAAAAAAATAGGATTGCACTAATATGAGGTACCTAGGCTTGTCATATTTATAGAGACAGAAAGAATAAATGTTACTAAGGGTTTGGTGTGGGAATAGAAAGTATTGTTTCTATCATTTAATAGGTACTATTTTTCAGTTGAGGGAGATAAAAAAGTTCTGTAAATAAATAGTAATGGTGGTTACACAGTAATGTCATGGTACTTAATGTCCCTGAGCTGTACATTTAAAAGTAGTTAGGAATTTCTAGTCAAGATAGCAGCATAGGTAAACTTGATACTCACCTTCTCCCACAATCACATGAAAATTACAACCAAATTACAGAATACCCATCATTCAGAACCACCAGATATCAAGCAGAATGAAGTCCTACAACTACAAATTAAAGAGGAAACCACATCAAGACAGGTGTGTATGGGGGTGGGGGGCAACGGGGAGATGTGGAATGGGCTGGTCCCACACCCAGAGGGATAAAAATCCAGAGGAATAGCTCAGCTGTGGAGGTCCCCATGAGAAGCAAGGGGTCACAGTTCTACACCAGGTCCCCAAGCCAGAGTTCTAGTACCAGGAAGGGAAGTCCCCATAACTTCTGGCTGTGAAAACTAGTGGGGATTGAGGCTGAGGAAGATAGAAACTTGTGAAATCCCAGGCAGTTCTTCTTAAAGGGGGCCATGCAGGGACTTATTCAGACTCGCTCCTGCTGAATTCCAGCATGGGGGCAGTATCTTGAATCTTGAAAGGCACCAGGGATATGCCAGGAGGAACTGAATTGTTTAGTATCAGGGCAAGAGCTAGGACAGCTTTCTCCCAGACAGAAGTGCTAGCAGAGGCAATTGTTCCTTTGCTGAGCCCTCCCCGAAAAGACTGGCAGGTGGGCACCATATCTGAGTCTCCATCAACCTAGCTCACAATCTTTACCGCACCCTGGTGATTCCCTGCAGCCCCACCCCACACAACTTTGAGGCCCACCCAAGCTGTTTTCCAGTGGCTTTTCCATACAAATTTCTTGTCCTGACTCATGTTTCAGATTTTCCTAAATTCTCTCAAAAAACATGCATCTGGCCTCAGTGAGCCCCACACCTCCTGCTAGGTGGCCTTAGGCCTAGCACTAGCAAGCATCTGGCCTTGGTGCACAGATTGGTTTTGCCTAGGCACCTCCAAGCCCAGCACAGGTAGATGCCATCTGCAGATTGCTCTGTAGCTTATGCCAGTGGCTCCACACAAAACACAGGCAGTAGCTGACCTTGGCCTGTACCTCCTGGGAAGCTCTAAAGCCAGTGCACATCATGGACAGCTTCAGGCCAATCTGAACACTACCACCTAACCATCTCAATAAGAGACTCACTCAAGGGGCAGACTAAGTGCGCAACAGAGCCCTGCTGAACTAAGTCCTGCTTTGTGAAGTGGGCCACTGCACAGCTGATCCTTGACAGTGGTCGTACCTCATCCTTGAGCTGATCGGCCTGAGTCAGTCCTTCCCATTGACATGCCAACAGCAATCAAGGCTCAGCTACAAGAGGAAGGTGTACACAGCCCATGTGGTAGGCACATCTCAAGTACACAGCTTGGGAGGATAGGGGGTGCTATGCCACTGGACTCTACAGGACATCTATTATGTTAGGCCAGACTTTACCAAACATGGGATATGTAGCAGCTCTACCTAATACATAGGAGCAAATACAGAGAGGCTGCCAAAATGAGACAAAGAAACATAACCTAAATGAAAGAACAGAACAAAACTCCAGAAAAAGAACTAAACAAAATGGAGACAGGCAATCTACCAAATGCAGAATTTAAAACACTAGTTGTAAAGATGCTCAGTGAACTTAGTGAGCACCTCAGCAGCATAAAAAAGAACCAGTTAGAAATGAAGCATACACTAATCGAAATAAAGAATAACTTACAGGTAGTCAACAGTAGAGTAGATGAAGTCAAGAATCAAATCAGTGATTTGGAATATAAGGAAGCAAGAGCAGTCAATTGGAACAACAAGAAGAAAAAAGTATTAGAAAAATGAGGATAGTGCAAAGAGCCTCTGGGACATTTCAGACACACCAACAATTGCATCATAGAGGTGCCAAAAGAAGAGAGAAGGCAAAAAGTTGGAAACCTATTTGAAAAGTAATGACAAAAAACTTCCCTAACTTGGTGAAGGAGATAGACATACAAGTCCAGGAAGCACAGAGAATCCCAAACAAGATGAACCCAAAGAAGCCCACACCAAGACACATTATAATTAAAATGCCCAAGGTTAAAGACAGCGAGAATCTTAAAAGTAGCAAAAGAAAAGCAGAGCACTTCAAGGGAGCTCCTATAAGACTGTCAGATGATTTCTCAACAGAAACTTTGCAGGCCAAAAGGGATTGGCAAGAAATATTCGAAGTGTTGAGAAGCACAAGTAAGATTACTCTACCTGGAAAAACTATCATTTAGAATTGAAGGCCAGATAAAGAGCTTCCTGGACAAGGAAGAGCTAAAGGAGTTCATCACCACCAAACCAGTATTATATGAAATGTTTTAAGAGTTTTCTTTAAGGAGAAAATATTAAAAAATATGAACAATCAAATGGCAGTAAGTGCATATCTATCAATTATTGAATCTAAAAACAAACCAACAATCAGAGTAGAAGCAGAATCATAGATACAGAGAACATTTTGGTGATTACCAGATGGGGAGAGGGTTGGGAGAATAGATAAAAAAGGTGAAGAGATCAAAAAGTGCAAATTGGTTGTTACAGAATAGTCATGGGGATGTAAAGTACAGACAGCATAGGGGATATAGTCAATAATAGTCTAATAACTATGTATGGTGTCAGATGGGTATGAGATTTGTCAGGATGATCACTTACTAAGTTCTGTAATGTCTAATCACTGGGGTGTACACCTGAAACTAATATAGTGATGTATGTCCTCTGTAATTGAAAGTCAAAATATTTTAAAATAATAAAAATAAAAGCTTCGTGCCTTCAAAAATGGTTAAAATGATTAAATTTTGTTATGACTATTTTATAACAGTGAAAAAATGAGGAAATAAGAGAAAAACTGATTACTTAGAAATAAATAACAATGAAATTACTACGAATCAATGTTTAAGTTCTGTTGCTAATTTGGAGTTTTAAATTTATTTCTTAAAAAAGAAAGACAGAATGTAAGTGAAAGAAGGATATCATTTAGAAAAATAGAAAAATAAAAAACCTAAGGAAAATAGAGAAAATTTTATAAATTATTAAGTTATTAAAATAAAAGAAAAACATAACAAATCAAATTTTTACATTATTCATTTTTTAAAAAGAGTAAAATAGACAGACTTTTAAAAATCTAATCAGGGGGGAAAAGGCAAATATACAGGAAAGCTTAAGAGGTAGAAAGACCAAATAAGCATTAAGAATATTTATTTATAATGTCTTATGTTTTCTAGATGTAAATGATTTAGATTGGCTAAAAATGATGTGAGAAAATATTTAGATAATTTCAGAAGAAATTGAAAGTAGAATCAAAGATGTACTACTTTGTGAAGGACTACTTATTCCCAGTTGTTTTCGTGGGGGTTTTTTAATGGAAATATTTCATTTATTTTTCAATGCTATACAGATAAATATCAAAAATATTTAATGACCACTTTGTATTTATTACATGTCATGTTAGGTATATGTCACAGCAGATCAGATATGAATTTATTTTGTTTTCATAGAAACTTAAATTATCCATTACTATTTGCTTAATAGATGTAATTCAGCTTATAATATACCTTGTTATTAATATCACCCCAGTTATAATACCCTTAATACTGTGCTGGATGCAAAGCAAAGCAAGTTACCCTGTTTTTGTTTTTAATGGCAGTAAAAATAGGGATGAATAAATAACAGGAAAATATTGCACTGTAAGTCAGGAATTGTTCTGTTCTCATTTGATTATCTCATTTAATACAATATCCTTATAGGCTAAGAGGAAATAGTGTAAATTATTAACTTAGTAAAATAAAAGCAAAAACATTAAGTAATTTGCTCATGTTCCCAGCCAAGATTGGCAGGGTCAGGATCTGAATCCACATATTCTTAACACAGAGCCTGCATCTAATCTGCCTCTCACCACTGACAGCTGTCATGTAAAATGGTCACTGAAAACCACAGAAAATTCTCCATTTTTCTTTGTCTTATGATGTTTGTTGTAATTTTGTTCTTCTTCATGTAGGCCATCAAGACCTATATGATGCAGTATCTTATTTATGGCAGCATTCCCTTCAAGTGCAGTGCTGCGGTACACGATGGAAGTTGGCAATAAACTAAAGCAGCAGCTTTCCTCTTCTCTCCCCTCCCCTTTCACTGACTCTGTTAGGAAGAAACAAGAGAAGAAATTAAGTTGTTGATCTGCATACCATGTAACAGTCCCTCAACACTTGTCTCCACATGGTAAAAGACTCATCATGTTACATATCCCTCCTGCTTTATTTACCAAGAAATTGGTGAAACATAAATCCAGAGAAACGTGTACAAGGCTTTTGTCTGTAAAGATTAAAAAATATGTATTCTAACAGAATCTATCCCATTCACCAAACAATTGGGTGACTATACATTCAAAAGACTTTCCTTAATCCATTTTTAATTTTTTTAGACCCCAAATCCACTGTGGGAGAGAAAGGGATTATAAGCACCTCTGTTGGAGGCTGCAGGATGGAAATGGCAGTGCAGTAACTTACCACTCTCCGTGCTGTGTCACCAGAGCTCCCATTCTCCTGTGAGAGTATGAGCTTGGTGGAACTCCATGATACCCTCTTCTAAAGCCCTTCTCTGTGAGGAGGAATGGGTGAAGGAGGCAGAAGGAGCACCAACTATAATAACACAGAGTAACTTTACAAGGTCAAAATTAAATGTCCCCCAAATTGTAACATTTTCCAGCATGAGGCAGTATGGCCTTGCCCTAGATCCCCCTGGTGACTGTAACAGGTATTTAGAAGCAGGTGACCTCATTCTGAGCATCCAATAAAGCCTCCACCTGGGAGAAGCTCAGCAACTAAAACCATAGTTAACCAGTGTCATGAGTCAGGTTAGAGTTTTAATTAGTACTGTGGTTCCTATCAAAGCACCTGGGGTACTAGTCAACTAAGTGATTCAGTCACAGTGCCCCTGGAAATCTCTGTGGATGAGGACTATAAACCTGCACTTCAATAGGCTTAGTAGTTGATTAACTGCTTTTCCACAGTTTTTTAAAAAACAACTTCACTGATGTATAATTAATACATAATAAACTGCACATGTTTGAAATGCACAGTTAATAAGTGTTGATATATGTTTACAAATGGGAAGCCATCACCACAGTAAAAGTAGTGAATAATATCCATCACCTCCCAAGTTTTCCTTGTGCTAGTTTGTAATCCATCTCTCCTGCTCCTTCCCTGGTCACTGTTCCCAACAACCACTGATCTGCTTCTATCACTATGGATTACTTCGCTTTTTTGAGAGTTTTATATAAATGAAATCATTTGGGAACATTCATAAGCTTAAGCTTAAAACTACCATAAAGGAAAATCTGAGTTTAAGAAAAGTTTTTGGACAATGGAAGGTGATGTTTGTAACAAAAATGAACAAGATATATATATTTTTCTGTAATGCTTTTCTCCTTCATGAGTGAACTTTTTATATGGGTTACTATTTTGCATTATTACTAAATAGTATAGCATATCTAAACATAATTTATTTTAAAAATTAAAATTTTACTAATGTTCCATTTTTATGTCCAAAAGATACTGCCTAAACCCAAAGTTGTTTCACTTGTTTTTTGTTTGCTTTTGTTTTTAATCTTTCTGCAGAGCATACAGGATTGGGCAGTGCAGGGATGTCAAAGTGTTTAGGCTGATATCTTTGGGAACTGTGGAGGAGATCATGTACTTACGACAGGTGTACAAGCAGGTAAATATATTTCCCTTCTAATTAAAAGGTAAACATTTGCCTGTTTTCAAAAATTAGGAACAAATTTTTGTAAAAATATATTTTAATTATATTCTAACTGCAATATGGCATTTAATAAGATTATGAAATATACTCTAGAATATACTTCTGTAAAACATTTTTAGGTTCATTGAATTTTAGAGCTGAAAGTTTCTTAGAGCAGTACTTCTTAAACTTTAAGGTGCGCATGAATCAACTAGGGATCTTTAAAATATATCCTGGCTGGTGTAGCTCAGTGGATTGAGCGCAGGCTGTGAACCAAAGGGTCAAGGTTTGATTCCCAGTCAGAGCACATGCCTGGGTTGCGGGCCAGGTCCCCAATGGGGGCCATGTGAGAGGCAACCACACGTTGATGTTTCTCTCCCTCTCTGTATCCTTCCCTTTCCCTCTCTCTAAAAGGAAATTTTAAAAAACTAAAATATTTAAAAATAAAATAATAAAATAAAATATAGATTCTGTCCTGGCTGCATGGCTCAGTTGGTTGGAGCATCGTCCCATGTACGAAAAGGTTATGGGTTCGATTCCCAGACAGGACACATACCTAGGTTGCCAGTTTAATCTGCAGTTGGGATATGTACAGGAGGCAAACCATCCATGTTTCTCTCTCACATCAATGTTCCTCCCTCTCCCTCTCTCTCTAAATTAATGAACATATCCTTGGATGAAGATTAAAAAAAACAATACACATTCTGATTTAGTAGATTTGGGTGGAGCCCAAGATTCTGCATTTTTAACAAGCTTCAAGGAGTGCCAAACAGTACTAGTCTGTAGACCACAATTAGAATAGCAAGGTCACTGTTTCCCAGTCTGTGGGCCAAACACAACATTATACCACCGATGGGATCCGGGTTCACTGAGACATTGATCCCACAACTCAGAGCAGCCACATTATCTAAGCCGGCATCCAACCTTGAGTAACATCCTCTGTTTACTCCAGGTAGATGTTACCATTTTTTATGTGTTCCATGACATAAAGAAGAGCAAGGAGAATGCCTTACAGGTAGCTAAAGCCACCATTTCAAAGCTGCCCCAGTAAATAGAATTACGGGAATCAAGTGCAAGTGCCCTACTGTGCTGGTAGTGTTAGCATTCATCTAAAATTGCATTAACTCTTTAGTATCCTTAGGGTATCAATTACTATTCCATTTCTGCTTCTAAATAAAGTTTATTTAGTTTAGAACTGCTGACTTGAGAAGATCTGGAATGAGGTTCAAGTTTAATTATAAATGTTAAATTTGAATTACTCCCTATATATTGAGTTGGCATCTCTTTAAGAGCAAACATCTGCCACATGTGGTGGTAGTTAACCTAAGAATGATCCAATCTTAAATTAATGCTGTTTTCTTAATTCTAAAAATAGAATTGTACACAGCAGTTTTTGTTTTTTCTTGAAGCATTTAGCTCTGTAAGAAGCCTTTCATCTTTTTGTTCCTTGGTATAACAAACTACTTAAAAATTACTTCTTTAGACATATTTAACCAATCTTGGAAAAAATAGGATATTATTTTTTCAACTTAGGAGCAGTTCTTTAGAATAGTATCTTAGCCTATCACAAGTAAGAGTTTTTCCTCAATCATGTAATTTATCTCAGTCCCATTACTATATATACAGAGTGGGGGAAAGTAGGTTTATAGTTATCGTATGGAAAATAATACAATAATTAATAAATAATAACACAAGAGTAAACTCTGTTTTGTGTACTCACAACTGCAACCTACTTTTGTTCTACCCTGTGTATACTTTTCAATTAGTCATCTCACTCTATAGTAAAATAATGACCTGTTGTATAATGTATATTATATAATATATAATAAAAAGGCCTCAGAAGATGATGGTAATTTAAGTTTTCAGAACTTTGTAGTATCTAGTTACTTATTAAAATACTTCTTAAATATGAGTTATTTGGGAAAGATTCAGCCATACAACTTGGTAGGCACAAATAAAGATAAGTCATGTGAGGAAAAGATATTAAATGTGGTTTAAAGATTGATTTTAGTTTGAACCAAGAATACGTGTGTTGTGCACACTCTAGCCTCCCAAGTGTTTCTCAGATCTTTGGGGGAAAATAAACATCTAAAAATGACATTTAGGGAAAAGAACTATAAAAATATTGGGAACCAAGAAGAATTTTCTATGTGATCCAGAAATTATAAGGAACCCTCAAAGACAAAAAACAATCGGGATCTGATTAGAGGAAGAAACTAAGCTAAACTCAGGAAAAGGATACTGAAAAAGGTAGGTGTTACTTCTGAATAGTCTAAGGCTAGAGTTACCAGATACTAAAAAAAATAAGAGGGGGGGGGTAACTGTGGTACTCATTCTTTAGGATATCATTGGGAACTAACAAGGTGATTTAACACTTAACAATATTATCCCACTGTACCACAAGACAGCCATCAGCCCTGGCTGGTGTAGCTCAGTGGATTGAGCGTGGGCCTGTGAACCAAAGGATCGCGGTTCGATTCCCAGTCAGGGCACGTGCCTGGGTTGCAGGCCAGTTCCCAGCAGGGAATGCACGAGAGGCAACCATACATTAATATTTCTCTCCCTGTCTGCTTCCCTCCCCCCTCTAAAAATAAATAAATAAAATCTTTTTTAAAAAGTTTTTTAAAAAAGACAGCCATCAGAGGTATATGCGCTCAAGAGGAACAAAAATTAGAAGTATTGGAAGCAAAGAAGCAAGACAGAGCTCCAAATTTTTGCTGGAATCAAAAAGAAAGTTCTTTCTATTGCTCAGAAGATGAAGTACTTGCAGATCCCACACTTCAGTGGGCTGAGATAAACATGTAAGATATTTACGCAACAAAAAATAATTATTTAATGATTTAGGAAAATAAACACTGAAAATGGCACTCAAAGATAATCAGGTTCTAATCCCTAGAACCTGTATGTGTTGCTTTATATAGGAAAAAGTTGTCTTTGTATCAGCAGCTGGCAGAACAGGTGGACTGACATTTGTGTACAGGATTATAGGATTGAGACAGACCGCACAACCCAGGGTTCCAGCACAAGGAAATAAAGCCTCAAAACCTCTGATTGAAAAAACCTTTGAGGGTTGAGGTGACAGGAAAAACTCCCAGCCTCACAGGAGAAAGTTTGTTGGAGAGACCCGCAGAGTTCTAGAACGTACACAAACCAACCCACCCAGGAATCAGCACCCACAGGGCCCAATGTAGTTGCAGGTAGGGGAGGAAGTGACTGCAAGCCAGCTGAGAAGTGACTGAGCAAGTGGCGTTGTTCCTTCTCGGGCCCCTCTCCCACATCAGCATCACAATGTAGTAATGTGGGTTGTCCCACCCTGGTGAATACTTAAGGCTCCACCACTTACTATGTAACAGGTACACCAAGACAAAAGAAATATGGCCCAAACGAAAAAACAAATCAAAATTTCAGAAAAAGAACTGACAAGCAGATAGCCTATCAGATGCAGAGTTCAAAACACTGGTAATCAGGATGCCCACAGAAATGGTTGAGTATGAACACAAAATAGAGGAAGAAGTGAAGGTTATGAAAAGTAAAATAAAGGAAAATGAACAGGGAACCAACAGTGAAGGGAAGGAAACCAGGACTCAGATCAATGGTTTGGAGCAGAAGGAAGAAATAAATGAGAATAGGCTTAGGAACCTCTGGGACAACTTTAAACATTTGAACATCTGAATGACAGGGGTACCAGAAGGAGAAGAGGAAGAGCAACAAATTGAAAGCATAATGAAGGAGAACTTCCTCAATCTGGCAAAGGAATAGACTTCCAGGAAGTCCAGGAAGCTCAGGGAGTCAGAGAGTCCCAAAGAAGTTGGATCCAAGGAGGAACACTCCAAGGCACATCATAATTACATTACCCAAGATGAAAGATAAGGAGAGAATCTTAAAAGCAGCAAGTGGAAAGGAGACAGTTACCAAGGAATTCCCATAGGACTATCAGCTGATTTCTGAAAAGAATCCTTGCAAGCAAGAATGGGCTCTGTATAGAAGTATCTGAAGTCAGGAAAGGCAAGGACCTATATTCAACATTACTCTATCCAGCAAAGCTTTCATTTAGCATGGAAGGGCAGATAAAGTGCTTCCCAGGTAAGGTTAAAGGAGTTCATCATCACCAAGCCCTTATTATATGAAATGTTAAAGGGACTTATCTAACAAAATGAAGAAGATAAAATAAATATAAATAGTCAAATGACAGCCCTGGCTGGTGTAGCTCAGTGGATTGAGCGCTGGCCTGCGAACCAGACAATCGCGGTTCAATTCCCAGTAAGGGCACATGCCTGGGTTGCAGACCAGTTCCCTGCAGGCCAGTTCCCAGCAGGGGACGCACAAAAGGCAACCATACATTGATGTTTCTCTCCCTCTCTCCTTCCCTTCTCCTCTGAAGATAAATAAATAAAAAGAAAATCCTTAAAAAAAAAATAGTCAAATGACAATAAACTCACAACTATCAACAACCAAGCCTAAAAAAAACAAAAACAAACTAAGCAAACAACTAGAACAGGAACAGAATTACAGACATGGAGATCACATGGAGGGTTATCAGTAGGGAAGAGGAGGAGGGGGAAGGGGAAAGGTACAGGGAATAAGAAGCATAAATGGTAGGTACAAAATAGACAGGAAGAGGTTTAGAATAGTATGGGAAATGGAGAAGCCAAACTATGTGTGGGCACATGAACTAAGGGGGTGGGGAATAATGGTGAGAGAGGGTACAAGGTAGAGGAAAATAAAGCGGAGAAAGAATGAGACAACGTGTAATAGCATAATCAATACAATATATTTTTTAAAGTGTCTTTGCAGATAAGATTAAATTAATGATTTTGAGAAGGGGGAGATTAGTGTGGAATGTCCAGGTAGAGCCTAAATCACAAGTGGCCTTAAAGAAGCAAAGGGAAATCTGACACGGGAAGAGAAGGCAGTGAGACCACAGAGGCAGAGATTGAAGTGATGTAGTTTTAAACTGAGGAATGCTGGCAGCTACC